AAAATGATGAAATATGAATAATATTTTCGATCTTACCGATAGAAAAAGTTATGTTTTTGTTTAAGTTGATTATCGATAAAACACGAATAAAATGACATTTTGTAAAAATGATTCCTAGCTAGATCGATCTATCGCCCCCGAAACCCCCTATCATTCATTAAATTATTGTAAGTGTTATACTTAACTAAAAAAAACAATAATTTTTTGAAGATATTAAATTAACACAGATGTTACTTACTAGATTCTTGTTACAAACGTCATTAACACTGCAACTCACTTTATATGATACTTATTAATAATTTGTATACCGTTAAAGTGGTCAAAGCAAAATAAATAATTTAATACAGTTTTGCTGTATCGTAACTGCATGATTAGAAGGAAACAATTTTTGAATGCGGCTTTTTTAATATATTATAAGTAATAATTAATTTTCCATTGTGTAAAAAAAAATGCAACTTGACTCACCCGATTTTATAATTGGAGAGTAGATTAAAAAATTATACGTTTGTAAATTTAACGTTAACCCTTATCGAGCTTACATTTATCGAAAACTTATTTCTTTAATTGGTTACGTATATTTTCGAATCGTATAAATATTTAATATAATTTTATACATTTATAATAATAAAAACAGTATAAATCATTTAATCGATTCAGTTGATATAAATACGGTTATCAATAAAAAACAATAAATAATATTAAACCGCGAATTTTTAGGTTGGCAACAAAAGTATACTTTTTATTTTAAACGTATTTTATTAATATGCTACATTTCAATGTTGAATGATGACGTTACATATTATTAAATTATAAATTTAATGCAGCGCTCACTTACATAATGTATAGTTAAGCAATACCTTAGTGTAGCCTTCTTATAATAACTGCCTCATTCAAAGATTAAGTGGTCTCTTTTAGTATGAATTCACACTTGTGACTTGAAATCTACTTTAACGAATCAGACAGTGAGAGCCAATGAAATAAAAAAAAATAAAATCATATATACATATATTGTTTTATTCATAAAAAGTTGTATAAAAATAAATATGTAATTGTTACAGATAACAAAATGCTACAATCGGCGAGCGACGACAGTGGGAGTTCCGAGGTGGTGTCGCCAGATCATATGCTGCTGTATTATGATGATAATTTCGAGTACTTCGAAACTAAGCCTGATGTGGCCGATATGAAAATAGAACCAACGGCAGGTAATGCTCATTTTTAACCAACAAATTAAAGATTACCCGTGGGTTTCCGAGCCCAAAATCAAAATAGATAAATTACTTTTACTTAGTTTGTAGATTTTGAGGGTAATTTTTTATATCGAAACAACTAAAATTTCTGGCATAATTTGCGTCATCATCATTCATTTATTACATACGTTGTCTTCAAAATATGCTGTAATTTTAAAGCATGCAGAGAGGCATGATCGTCCGAATATTACATTTGTCGGTATTCAAAGGTCTCGCAATTGAACAGCCGCGAAAGTGAAATGAACGCCGTCACGGCCAAGTGAAACCAGAACTCGATCTTACAAATGAGCTATGTTGATTTAGCAGAAGCTCAAAAGTCTTTATATTGAAGGTGTTACACGAGCTAGCGTGTTATTAAGTGAGACCATATGCAACCAGCTGATGTGTTCCCAACTAGTTGCTATTAATAATAAAGAAAAGATAAAAAATGTCACACAACCGTCTCAGAAATGTTTAGTCGCAGATATCGCGAATATCGAAATCAATATTTACATTATCACATTGCCCGATGATTACATAGCAATACCGAATGGGCTTAATAATGACGTCAGTTATATTTATTTTTTGGTCCTATTTTGAAGGTCATTATTGTACACTTTGACCATAAAATCAGTGAAGTGAAAGCAAAGTTAACTGTGAAGCTGATAAACATTACAAGAATCGGCTGAAGTGAAGCATACAAATCGATTAGTCCGCATCAGAGCTCTTACGCAAATCGTATCCGAAGCGTGCAGTCGCCTCACGTAATGTCTTGGCGGCAGCGTCAGGGCAGCTAACTTGTTGCACAAAATACATATTACTCTCACTTTGGTTAGGGCTGCCAATAATTTGATTTACATTCAAAACGGGTACATACAAATGTGAACATCTATTAAAAAACTTAAATCTTTTAAGTTAAATTAGCATTAACAACCATACCAATCTGAAAAATAGCTATTATCGATAAAGTGCCCTTTATATAAAATCGCATTTTAAAAATTAAATACCTGGAGAACAGTTATAGACCATCTAAAAGATTTGTTGTAAATTATAAATTTTTAATCCCTTTCTTGTGTTCACTACCTAAATAACTGAGGCTTATTTTATACAAGTTACGATGCATTCGTATTGTTATTTCAAATCTTTGAAATGACGTCAACGAAAACCTTACTTATTATGTTTCTTCTTCACGTGTAGATTAAATATCAGCTTTTAACGATACTTTCGATTTATTCTTATTTCACAATAATAAAACCGTTAAAGAAATTGTTTTCATAAGAATTGAAAAAAAAATCTCGTAGACGTTTCCCTTCAGTTAATCCGATTATTCCGCGCTTTCGTCGATCTTTGCCAATTAGTCGGTACCTTTACATGGAAATCTATCTAATTGGAAAATAAAAATATCACAAAGGTTTTGTCTGAGATATCCAATGAACATTTTGTTTCCAATTTCTGATGTTTACGATAAATATACACAGGATAGGAAAGTAATATTTGAAATAGAGACGATACATATTTTTCTACTTATTAGTAGCACTTTTACCAAAACTAAGAATGATAGAAAATTGTAGCGAGGTTATCATTTATGTTTTATAAATTAAACTAGCTGTCGCCCGCGACTCCATCTGCGCGGAATTAAAAAACTATTGTTCTATATTTAAGGCAAATTTCATTAAGATCCGTTGAGCCGTTCTGGAGATACCTTCAAAGAACAACCATCTATACATTCGCATTTATAATATTAGTTAGAAAAACATATGTTTTACCGTTGGCCGTAAGATTAGATGAGAATAAGACGTATTATTTTATCATAAAACGTGTTTGCAGGCTGCTCTATTAAAATATAAAGTACGTCACGTATTAAAATTCTGCATGTTTGTACAGTGCGTTTGTACTTATTATTCATTAATTTTCTCACGTTTTCATGGTAAGTAATTTTAAATCGTTATGTTCTTTAAATTTATTTAGAGCCGTATAGACTCTACGGAATCGAACCTCGACACCGACCTACCGATGTACCTATTAAGATGCAAATGTGCAATAATAAAGGAATTCGATTTAAATTAATTTTTATCTCTACGATTTTAAAAGGGTTCGATAAATACTTGGATTTTAACTTTAAATATGGAAACTGCGTACTCAGCGACACCTAGCGACTACTTCGTAAGAATTTTAAATTCCAGTTTTGATTTTATTTTTAACACCTTTAACTTATCGTTTGTTTATTATATAAGAATAATAAAGAAATAAGTAAGGCATATTCTTGTGTCGATAAGTAATCTTTATTATCGGGTTTAATTTGTAAATTTTTAATCCATGATCACGGTACGTCCACGCAGACTTTATACAATAAAACGCGGCTAACCGTTATTTTTCCCAGGTTTTCCTAAATCGAATACAAAAATTTCAATCAATCGGGTTAAAAGTGATGAAGTGAAGGAAAGGAATTAAACTATTTGTTTCCATTTTTCAGAGTCATATGAGAGTGGCAGTGGCAGCGATGAGCTACCGCAGCGTTCAGGGAAAAGGCGGCGTCCAGCAGCCGCCCCCAGCGTCGGTAGCCCTCCCGCCAGCACGGGCCGGCGACGTCGCGGCTACTCCGCGCGTGAACGCAACCTGCGCCGCCTCGAGAGCAATGAACGGGAACGAATGAGAATGCATTCGCTCAACCGCGCCTTTGAGGTAATACGAAAATCTTAAAATATTAGTGATAGTGATCGAAAGTCATTGGAACACCTTGATTTATTGAACCGCTCTCATTTATAGATGAGTAGTGTGCAATTAACCTTACTAATTCTTATCTTATATCTTTAAATGAGCAATTCTAGTATATATAAAAGAATCGGCTCCAACGATCATCCAGGTACTTAATATTATAAATGCAAAAGTTTTGATGGATGTTTGTTAAAGGGTATCTCCGGAACGGCTCAGGGAATTTTGATGGTTTAGTACGGATGTAGAACATAGTCTGAAAGAACCCATGCTTATTAAGTTTTTTTCATACCGCGCCGACGAAGTCGCGGACAACAGCTAATGTTGACATAAACAAAAAGATGCGATTGGATGTGGGAAGGGTTGAATTCAAATATGACGGCTGATGAAGATGTAGGGAGGAGTACATACTGTGACGTCCCTCCGTAGGGACAAGGGCAGGTTGATGATGATAACCGCCGATATTTATATGATTGGTTGCGATACAAGTTTTTTTAATATAAAAAGTTATAGGAAATACACTTATAAAATGATTTTTCTTGTTCTAGGATCTTCGGCGTGTTATACCGCATGTACAAAAAGTAAGCAAAAGCCTATCCAAGATAGAGACGTTGACACTTGCCAAAAATTATGTGAAGGCTCTTACTAATGCCATATGCATGATAAGGGGCGAAGGAAACTATTACCTGTAAGTTATTCCACAGTTTTAAATCCATTTATTTTAACGTTTTTTTTTAAATATTCTTTATCCCTGGCAACACTACAAGTGTCTATGTCAAGTATATGTATTTAAGTTTTTAAATATTTTAAAATGTATTTTAATAAATAAATATATGTTTTTAGATTTACGAGCGCTGACGACAACGTGGAGCCGCCGTTTATTTTAAGTAGAGATATGGAGCAGAATAACAATGATGAAAATGACCGACAGCCGGAGCCTTCGCCAATCATCACCAGAAGAAGCCTCTGACTAATGTCCAAGGGACGTCAGTCATCCGCGACATCTTTACCTAAATAAAGTCGGCAAGCTCTAGCAAAACCCAAATTTTAGTTTATTGGTACAAAGTTCACTTATGTACAATCGCAAAGTATGTTAAATCCTAAGTAATACTCGTGATAAAAAGATTAATTATAATAATTATTTTACTATCTTAGCGAATGTACAAGACTACCATTATATAATTGTAACAATCTTACCATCACATGATTTTCTTCTCAGTTAGCTGACAAATAAATTTACTCGACGAACTGGCTCTCAACGGACACCGAGATCTAAAAATTAATTATAAGAATAAATGTGAGTAGTTAATAATTACCATAGACAAATTTTTAATGTTTGTTAGAATTTGCTTAAAGATGAAAACCTTGGTTTTTCCAAAAATAATATTGTTACTATGCCCATTTTACATTGTCCCAGTCCAGTGGCGTAATCCAGCGCGGGATTACAACTGGAAGAATTAATTAATGTATAATGTAACTGGGCATTAGAAGAGAATAGTTACCATTTTAGTTCAGCTTATCCTAAACGCGGGATTCTGCTGCCGAAAACCTATAGAAAACAAGTTGTTAATTCACCCATTACTTAAAAAAAATGAAAAATAACTATATATTTTTAATTTAATCTACATAGTATAACATCACAATCTATAAGTTGAATAATAAATAGCTGAATAATATTTCAATAACATGCCCCCCCCCCCTTCAGTTGCAAGTTGCCATTATTATATGAAATATAATCTAAATTATTTAAATTTTTAAACATTAGAATTTTAACGCGCAATTTTCATTTCAAAAAAAATAATGTGACGTAGCTGTAAGCATTTAGCATAATTAATGCATTTGATAAATATTGTTGTTATTGTAGCCTGTGTGTAACAAATAAGAGTTGCAGATGTCATTGTCTATATTACGAAACGAAAGTAATTGCTTTGTGGTTGTTGTAGTAGAGTAGATTTGCAGGCTTACATTTTGAACTTCAGAACAATTACTAACACTTTACAATCTCATGTTTTTATTATAAAATGATCTCTCTCTCTCTGTCTCTCTCTCTCACTCTCTCTCTCTCTTGGTGCCAATTATCCGCTCGATGTTTAGTCAACAAAATAAATAAATGTTTAAATGTAATATCTATAATGTTAAATGACGTGTTAACATAGGTAAATGTTAGTTTTTAATTTTTTTGTCAAAAGCTTCAATATGAATGTATGTAAATAATTTAGTTTGTCAGTTTATTCAAAGAATTTATTTTGTGTAAAAACCGTCAAAGAAATCTCAAGTTACCATACTTTTTTATTTCAAAAGCAAAAGTGTTTTGAAATTATGTTAAATTATGTGAATTATGTTAAAAGTGAAAAAATAGATTTAAGATTTTATGTGTCGAAACCTGTTGGAATTAATGTTCTATATAAATAAACAAAATATTTGTGTGTGTATTTATATCTTTGAAAATCTAATTCAAAAATCGATTTTTAACAAACCGTTTTCTAAGATTTGTTGATGTATAATATAAATTCCTCTTTTTTGTCCTTTACCTTTCCTTAAAGAAAAACAAAAGAGTGTCTGTGCACACACAAATTAATTTTCGATGAAATGAAGTTGTGGTAAGTACGTTGGTTAAACCGATTCTGACGTCATTTATTTATCGACAACTGTTGACGTTGAAATACAATATGAAATATCTTATACCTTATTCTAGACTAAGGTCTTCATAGTAAATAAACATTTCCTTTATCAGAGGGCGTGGCAGTGCCCCCGATGATAATTGAAGGCAGCTTTGACACTCGGAAGGCAGAGTTGTATTTGTTGAGTAAAAAAGAGACATAATAACAAAATACTGCCGGAAATCGATAATTTCTGGGCAAAGTGCGAAAAAAAGGGCCCAACGAAGGCAAGAAAAGAAAGCAAGAAACATTAAAGCTTCGAATGAGATGTCTGATTCGAAGCTTTAATGTTTCTTGTCTTGGATATAAATATAAAGTCCATGTGAATATATTGCTTTATAGAATTTGTTTTAAAAGTATAGCCTTACCAGAAACCCTGGACATATTGCGGAAAAACTTCGACAGTAATTTCTTGCAATGGCAATTTCAATAAAAATATAAATTCGTTGCCATGGCATCGACATTGTTGATCACAGAGTTGTCAAAGTATTTTAATGTAATCGCGGTGTGATATTTGAGTTTGTAATAATTTGATGTGTTAATATAATAAAAATCATTTAAGACCGCAATGAAAAAAAATTTAAGCCAATTAACGAGGATAACTTTTAAATACTGGATATAATTTTTAAATTTTAAGTGACATTAGTTTGTTACATGCATTGATGTTGATGTAAAGTGTTGCAATATCAATGAAAATTGCAACGCCCTCAAGACATTCCTTAGCAGTTCTCAACAGTTGTTTTATTTGTGTAGCAGCTTAAGGACCGACCGACAAGGACATTTAGAAATAAATTAAGTAAAGTATGATACCACACTAGCGTCTTGCTGTTAATGCGAAAAAAGTGCCACAAGTTCCTTTTCATACGTAGTTGTTATGTCATATGTTTTTATTATCTCATTTTCTATGTCAATGTAAGATTTACAGTGATGTCTATGGTATTTAATCATTTTATATTTTTAGGAGTGTAACACTTAAAAACAGATGAGAGTGAATGAGTGAATGAAAATTGGAACAATATCTGTGAACTGTGAGCTACGAATGAAGAACGAATGATAACGAAACACAAATTTCTTGTAGATGCGTGTGTAGAATAGAACTAATTTTCTGAATAATTTTGTGTGAAAGAAAGTTATTACTTGTTCAAGTTTCAGTATATTAATACTAAAAGATTGAATAACACAAACTCAAAGTTTTCTTTATTTTCCGTCAAATATAACAGAATTCATTTAAATAAAGATCTGCGTCTATCGCAAATATGGCCGTCCTGTAATGATTTGGTGGTCAGTGATATTATAGTTATTTCGTCTCATTTGTAATATCAAAATGGAGCTGCGTGTCGGTAATAAATACCGACTGGGTCGTAAAATTGGCTCTGGATCTTTTGGGGATATTTATTTAGGTAAGTATGAAATGAAATCTTTGTAAACAAAGAAAGATGGTCATTGGTACAGTTTAGCCCAGCTGCAATTTTTTTGTTTCGAAATAGCCATTCCATATTGTCAGCTGAGCTCAGCTCTAGAGATAGGACTGGCTGTTGCAGCAATAGTTTCACTTGGCTTATTTATAAATGGTTGAAATTTTGACTACACTACATGTGATTTCATTGGTTGTTTTGTTCACCGTTGTGTTATTATGACCGTGATTAGAAATGTTAAAGACATTAAAAAACATATTTAATAAAACTACCAATGATTTCATTGAATGATCAAATGTTAGTTCCTACGTCAATTAAACAACCTTTAAGCAAGGACAACAAATTTTATAACCTATATTCATACACTTTAATCTTATCGGATTTAAATTGCGCTTGACAAAGGTTCGCAATTATACTTTCACGTTATCCTACAAATTGAATTATAAAACATTTTGTCATATTATTCCCATTGTGACAAAAAACAATTTTCCTTATGGTTACCTTTTTTAAACATATCACTAGTTTTTAATTGCATAGTAAATGTTTACAAAGTAAACTAACTGAATAAACCTAATAAATGTTTAACCTAATCCGATGTATAAATAAATTCCAGGAACCAACATTGTGACAAGGGAGGAGGTTGCAATCAAACTAGAATGTATTAAAACACGACATCCACAGTTACACATAGAGAGTAAATTTTACAAACTAATGCAAGGAGGAGGTGAGTAATAAATAATTCAAACTGATTATTTAAGACTGGCTAGTATTCAATCAGTATTAATTCTTCAAGGGTTCATATAAGTAAGGATAATATCTTAAAAGTTTTCATTAAATTGACTCAAATACAATTATCATTCAGTACACTGCTTTCTAGGTCTTATATGTAATGTAGGAGTGACTATTGTAAAATATAATACCAAATAAAATAATGATTCAGCAAATTGATTAGTACCATAACAAACAAGAGAATGTTGAGTATTCTCCATTATGGCTACCTAAGAAACTAAACCAGACCAACTTACATTAATATTTAAAAATGCAGTTACACAAAAAGTGTCAATACCTTTGCTATTTTAAACAGCATTATGAAATACTTTAGCTTTCTATTGTTCAATGCCAAAAATGAATTGACATCACTAATTACTTCCAATTTAACAAGACGGACAAATATTGTTGATCAACATTCCCATTTAAAAAAAAAACATCTTTATAGTTGCAAACATGTACTTAACATAAGGCCTATTGATGAACACAAAGATGTAAGATAAATAACACAAAGGGATACATTCAGAGTAGCAATTTCTGGATCTATTTTAGATATTTTGTAAATACAAACTAATACATACATTATTATTAGCTTGATTGCTCTGTATTTGTGTGGAGTAATGTTTATCATAGATAATAGCTTGTCTAAGTCATTTGAAAGTTGCTATCTGTTTGTCCTTGGCAAACTTGTCCTGTTGTAATACAAATTTATGGTAAAAATTGTGAATTACTCAATTTACAATGTCAACATTATAATCAAAATTAAACTACGTATTCTTAATAATTACATTGTATTTCGAACAACCAATTATAAACATTTAAAAAATTACATAACTAATTGTATAAGAAGTTTGTTCTATATTTACATAATTAGCCTTCGCAAAGTGTAAGGTTTCAATTTGATCATATTTAATTATATTAAATATATGTATTATATATTAAAAAAATAAAAATATCATAAAGCGATTTAACCATAGCGACTGAAAGATAAGAACATTACCTCATTTGTGCTACCTTTCTCTGCTACCACATTAGTTTATTTTGTGCATTGGTGTCTGTGCAAAAGCAATGTTTAAGGAAAACTCAATAAGCTCACACTAGTATATTATCACTTAACATCCAATAGTTGTCTTCACATGTGATGCATTATAAAACCATTATACACTTAAAAAATAGAATTGTTGGTTGAAATCAATATATCAGTAGCATTATTAAGTTTTGACTAACATCTGTTCTAACTTTGCATATTAAAAAATATAAATCAATTAAATTTATTATACTATGTTTGAAAATGTTTATTACTGGAGATTGAGGACCTCCAGAAAGTTACATATACAAAAGTAAAAATGAATTGTAACTATAAATTATTTTGTAATAATGCCAATTCTATGATTAACTATATTTGTTTCATGCAGTTGGTATTCCTGCAATAAAATGGTGTGGTTCAGAAGGCGACTACAATGTGTTAGTAATGGAGTTGCTAGGTCCTTCTCTAGAGGATCTTTTTAATTTCTGTTCGCGCCGATTCTCTCTCAAGACTGTTCTCCTACTAGCAGATCAACTTATCACCCGCATTGAAGACATACATTACAGGAATTTCATTCATAGGTACGAATATACAAAGTACATTTCACAAATAGCCATATGCAATGTATTTGTTGAGGACATAGTAACTCACTAGTTACTTATAAGGTTAAAGATAAGAACTAACCTATTTACATTAATAAATTACTGTGGCATCTTTAGTATACAGAATCATATTATGTCAATATGTTACATAGTATCAATCTTACATATAATGATATGTGGTTTTCATTTTTATTGATACATAAATATACAAATATGTACGGAAATATGATATTTAGTTATGTTTTTAGTTTTGTGTAAAATGTAATGAAAAATCTTATTTTACAGAGATATAAAGCCTGATAATTTTCTCATGGGATTAGGAAAAAAAGGAAATTTAGTGTACATAATAGATTTTGGTTTAGCAAAGAAGTACAAAGATCCCCGAACCCAGCAGCATATACCATACAGAGAAAACAAAAACTTAACAGGTAAGAATTTTTTTTAGTTTTATTTTTACAATCGAAAATGACTTGATCTGTGGTTTTTTTAGGTTAACAACAATGTAATTACTAATAACATGTTATTTCTTGTCTCAAAAGTTTTGACTCATTTTAACATTGTCAGTTTATCTGTTTTATATACTTGGCTATTTTTTTGGCATAAGTGATATTAACAGCTACTGGCAACCCATCCAGTTGGTGTATAACATAATGTTAATATTTGCAGGCACAGCGCGATACGCATCTATAAACACACACTTGGGCATCGAGCAGTCGCGTCGTGATGACCTGGAGTCGCTGGGCTACGTGTTGATGTATTTCAACCGCGGCAGTCTGCCCTGGCAGGGCCTCAAGGCCGCCACCAAACGACAGAAATACGAAAGAATATCCGAGAAGAAATTGTCCACGCCCTTTGATGAATTATGTAAAGTAAGTCTTTTATATACTTTTAATTAGTACATCGAAATTAAGTACGTGTCAATTTTTTATATACTAACCATTTCACTATTTCCTCTTTTTCATTAGTTTTGTACATGTCCTATTAATATCATCAATGCGAAAGTTCAGATGTATGGATGTTGGTTACAAGGTATCTCCCATACGGCTCAATGGATCTTGATGAAATTTGACACAGATGTAAAACAAAGTCTACAAGAACACGAGCTACTTACTAAATTTGTTTATTTCACACGGATGGAGTCGCGGGTGACAGCTAGTTGTGAGATAATGTGAAGTGGTAAAAAAAAACTAATGTTATGTTGCAACATATTTATGTGAATCAATATTTGAATTTAGGAGTTTTACAGACAAATGCAATTCAGTGTAGCGCAAATCTGCGCATTTACGATTCATCTGCTTAAGACTTGTTGGCATTCAATACAGATAAATATTATTATATCACAAAGAAAATAATAACAAGTAAATAGAAAATAATAAGTATTGACAGTTATCTTACTAATATTATAAATGCAAATGTTACTGCCGCTGTTTCTGTACTAATTATCCTTCAATTTGTTTCAACTATATCTAACAATATACTAACTCTTTAGTCTTATAAAACTCTTCAAGTTGTGTGACCTCTTCAAGTTGTGAGTTGTAGCATAAATGGTTAGATCAATTTAGCCATTTAAATCTTCTCCGGAGTATGTTAAGGGAGACTGCTAGTTAATAATTGTTCTATATGCTATATGATTGAATGTGTTTGTATCTTTTTGTGCAGAACCATCCGATCGAATTTCAATTGTACTTGAAGTACTGCCGGCGACTGCGCTTCGAGGAGCGGCCCGACTACAGTCACCTGCGCCAGCTCTTCCGCACTCTATTCCACCGGCAAGGGTTCACTTATGACTATGTCTTTGATTGGAATATGCTCAAATTTGGTGAGTCTACATACCAATGTGTACATTCTTAAAGATTATTTGAAGTTTTTTGTAGCCTTTGAACACAGTGGAAAAAGTAAGATTAGCAATAATCTAGGTGATGTTTAGGGCAGTGAGATTATTGTGCTTTTTTTATAACAAACCATAAAAATGTGAGACTACTTAGTTTTATTTTACACAGACTTTGTCTCTGTTTAGTGTTGTTTAATACGGATGTTTAAAATGTATGTTGTTTGTGTTTGTTGGAGGTCCACGGGGCAACTACCTGCCCGGCGGCAACGACCGCACGCTCAGACGCCACGAGCAGAACCAGGAGCCGGAGACCAGTGAGTATTTATCTTTACGTGGACACTAGTCTCGAAGACGGATAGTGTGGGTATTAAAATATGTTGCACTTTTGTATCAATTGTGCGGTAAAGTTAAGTGTACAATTATCACAAGTCTCCACAGATGGATAGATTACGGCTTAGAAATTACAACTATTCCTGTACATTTAATAGAAGTCAGTGAATATGATGACTAGCTCAATAAGCTAAATTTGTAAATATGTATTATATATACAATTGATACTGCGCTAGATCTATGAAGAAGGAATATTTGAGTTAATTTGGTATATAATTGAGATGTAATATGTTAACGTGTCGCAGCGGCGGGCGCGGCCGGGCAGCCGAGCACGACGGTGGCGGCCATCTCTGAGTGGCGGTGAGTGAGATCTCCGGCGCCGCAGAGATAGCCGCAGCTGGTGCCGCGGCGTGACCGCTGCACCGAGCGCGCCCGCGCCCGCGCCCGCGCCCTCGCCCGCGCCGCGCCTTACCAACCCTCGGGACGGCACCCTAAGCCAAATATTCCACCTCGTAAGTGCTAAACTTAATCGAAAACAACAAATTTTGTACGCATTCAGATTTAAACTATTCGTATATTGTAAATTATTTAATTTTAGACTTTACGAGTGAGGGCTGAACTAATATGTGTACGTTTTTAAATGTGACTCATTTAAGCATAGCTGGTAATTAGGCCTATTGCATCCATTGTACTTTACGCTCAGTTATAATTTAGATATTAAGGTACAGGAGCGGGAATTGATGACCATTTGTCCCTCCTACGCAGACGAAATGGCTTAGGTGTAGTAGATGTAATCAAAGATTTTAATACATATATAGGTCCTTATGTACATATGGTTGTTACTAACATATAATAATTGCCACAGTGTTTTATTTATCAATTAGCGAATAAAGTTTTCTTTTGTTTGAATAAAATGCATAGAAATTTTTTGTTTGCGTTTTGTTACATTTTCTTTCGTATAAAGCTATCTCCAATATTCTTATTTGACCACATTATATATCTCAGTAATGTGGCATCCTATTCATTCAATTGTGGCATTTTTTAATATCCCTTCTTTTCATTTTGTGAAACAAACCTGTTATTTATAAATGTACATGTTTGGGCTTTATCATTTATTTGACAAGTGACAATTGCCGAGTCATTTTAAGTGACAATTTGCAACAGGTCATTCATTCAATTTTTATAGTCATTCTTTACGAATGAATGATTATTTAAAAGTCAATCATTCGTACTTCGACATCTGAGACGAAAGTAATTTGTGTAGATGACGTGGTCTATGTATGCATTAAAATCTTTGTGTATAATGCATTTATCTGATTTGCATCGGATTGTGTTATGGCAATATGTTTATACACCAACAGTGTTTATTAATAATAAATAATCACTAAGGCCAAAATGTTATTACTTGGTAATTCCATCTATTTAAATGTTTTTTATTGTGACTAAAATGTGCAATTTTATAACTAACAAATATTAAGTTCATAAAGAAAATATTAGCTAATTTCTTGTAACCTTGGTATTATGTTAAAATTTGTCTTCCATGTTTATAAGCCGTAAACATGATTAAAATGTAGCGATGACAAAGTTTTAATATGGGAAAATTATTCCGATGCTGAATGTCATGTCTCGAACACTGCCACAGATTAAATAGATTAGTGTATGTTACACAAGAATATATCCATTTTGTAAACTTTAAGTAATATTGGAAATTGCATTAATATTAATGAATATGGCGACAAAGTTTTCGGACGAAAAGTATAAAAATTAAATTAGCATTTAAAATGTGTCAATCACTACTATTTGTTTTTTCCGGATTTAAAGTCGATTTTTTGTTTTTTTTTCTTGTTTGTCACACGCTGCTTATTTGTGGGGATGAATATTCCTCTTAATTTTTTTTTAATTTCGAATCTTACAAACTGTGATCTCATATTGTTTACCAAAATCTTTGCCTTCAGTAAACTATTGAAGTATCTACTACTTCTTACTGTCAAGGTGAGAGTATAAACAAGATTGGAGTTTTTTTTCTTTTTAATTTGAATATTCTAAACTTGAAATGGTAATAATACTTTTTTTTTGTAAATATTAATATAAGAACTTATTTGCTGTATTTACTTATGTAAAATGTATCAAATGATCGCATTATGACCGCATGTATTACATTTACAACGCCACGAGGGTAAAGTAAGTTGGACTCAATTTGGCGTGTGGTTCGTGTGTTTGTATGAGTGTCGTTAATATAGTCCCACGCGCCAATTTGAATCAAACTATCTACAGTCCGAACCATCCATCTCTGATGTGACTGAGAATCGGGTTCAATAATCCTATGTAAATATTAATTAATTTTGTGTTGGTGACTGCAAAGTTAAGCTATACTGATAGAATCGCTATGATTTTAATAAAAAAAAATATTACTATCATTTTCTTTATAATTTAGTGTAAATTTTCCATGTGATGATATGGAACATGTATGTAATGATTTGAAAATAAAATTAATTTCTTTTTAAATAAATACAATTATTTTTTTCATTCGCATATATCATCGTTCATCGGTTTATTTAATATTTGAAACAAAAAAAAAACATCAAACACTAACATATCCATGTATTTTATGTATAATTTCTATTTAGATTTTCTATAGACCGTGTAAAATTAGATTGTATATAGCATAAGCGAACAATGTCATTGAATCTATTTTCAAATGAAAATTGCAGATTCATTTGGCATTTACAAATAACTCTTAGGAAGTTTTGAGCTACCACCATTAACAGTCCAAATGGTGGGAGGTAGTTCAAAAAGTTTGAAGACTATTGGAGTATCCTAGATAAATGCGGTCGTTATAGCTTTGTTTTTCTTTGTATAATAACCAAAATATGTTATGATATTATTTTACTAACTCGTGGTATTTTAAGGCAAGTTTCGAGGATGGGTTTGTAATGTAGATAAATATTCGCCAGTGTAAGGAAAGTGAACAAGGACGCTTCAAACGGCTTCTACGGAGTCAGTGTCCGCTATAACCGACGAAAGACTTTATGAATTTAATTTTGTATATAATAATTGTAAGTTATATTAAGGCCGACACACTGTTTTTTACAATATACTAGATATAAATACATAACTGTTGTAGTGTGCGTCGCATATGCAAAGGGGCGTGGCTACATTGTACACGATTGTCAATTTGATCGTGACGTCATCGAGGGCGTGGCCTGCGCTTGTCATAATTGTCGTGAAATAACCTCCCTATATTTTATTAAATATCAATTTTGTACACAAGGCAACATAAATAGTCGAAACTAATATTGTATGTTTGCATTGCGTCGCCGATGCGAGTCCTCTATTCGGATAGTAGACGTAGCGACAACATGTCATCTGTATAGATTTGCTTAATCATATTGAAATTTCGGTGACTTTTCTCACAATGAATTTGACAAACAGGTTGTGAGCAACTATCTTTGGCAGATTGAAATGTCGTTGTGTGAGTTTTTGTTGCGTAAGTCGTCTAGTTTTCGAAGATTTACTTTGCCTTGTAGGGCCTAACACTACATCAAATAATAATAGAAGTTGTAAAAATTTCACATGTTAATATATACTTGATTCGCGGATTTAAAATGTTCTTTGTTAAAAGAAAAATGTATTGTTTGGAACTTATTTTATCATCGAGACTGTTTTCGCACTCTGTAATTTTTGTAAGGAAAATAGCCACATCGATTCGTTTGGCGCTGTAAGCGTCTCATTGCATATGCGTCGTGGTAGAGTATAGTCATTATTTGGCTATTTTATTGCATATTATAATTTGATTGCCTCTGTTTGTTGTGTAGCCTGTCTTCATGTACAGACGCTGATATCGTTATATGAAATGGGGTCCGCGTGTGAGACGAAAGGAGGGAACGAATCGTTTAGTTGTAGGATATTATGGTAAATAGAGGGTACAGCTTCTTTTGGATCTATAAATACTTGTATATTTAAGGTGCGGGATGCGACAGTTCCCTCCAGACTTGAAGTTATCCTATTAATGTGACATAGACCGAGGTTTATTTACGTGAATGTGTTTGTTGTACAACTGTCCCGTGCTGGCAATTATAGCTCTTAGCATATAATTATGCTTCTATTATATAAATTGTTAATGCTTGCATTGTTTTCTATGTCCAGTATGTATTAATTCCTTTGGCACAATAAACCAGGTAAAATTAAAGTTGTCCATTTTTATTTGATGTCCTTAAATATTGTTTAATATTTTGGTTGAGATTAGAAATAATTTTTGATATACTCTTTGTAACGTATTTATAGGATATCTTTGGGATTAGGATTAATTAGTTAGGAATTATTCGTTAACAGCCAATATTTTGACAATTTCTTTAATAACTACGTCGCTAAGAATCCACCGTCGATGGGAAGTTGGGCTCCGTTTATCATGCTCGCTTTGTCACTCAGCAGAAATATTATTGCATTCACCACCTCGTGCACTTCACTGAATCTAAAAAAAGAAATTATTAATGTTAGTTTATTAATTTTTAACACAATACTTTACAAAATGTATGTTTATAACACTTTTCAAATATATTGGCGGTTTAAGTACATCGGCATGTTACGCAATGCCCTCCCCTGCATCTTGTTACTCCCATCGACACCTAAAATTATGTTCTACGCAGCGACTCTCGAGAAGTTATTAGCCGCTAAGATAGCAATAAGTAAAACTTTTTAAAAATGAGGAAAAATAACAAAAGAAGCGCAATAACGATATTTTTTTGTGATTATTTTAATACTGAAAATATGAATGGGAAAAATGAAATTGCATTATTTTTCTTTATACTGTACAAATTTCGTACTTTTATTTAATAATTTATTAAAAACTAACACACGTAGACGACAACTATACGAGTGAGAGTGATAAAGTTTATCTTATTTATAGCTAGGCTTTGTGTACGCGATAATGTTTTTATATCCGTGAACAAAATGCTTAGATATTTTAATTCTATATAAATGTAACACATTTTATTCAAAGGTTTTGTAGCTGAAATTTCTCATCACTCTAAACGTGTCACCAGCTTGAACCTGGATCCTTTTTCATTCTGGGCATGAAGTCTACAGCACGAATGACTTACCTGCCAAGTGGTATTTTGGACATCATCTGTTTTGCCTTCGTTTGGTCCGCCCAGACTTCGCGGCCCAGTTCCGTTAGTACCACTGTTGGGTTGACGGCGTTAGCGCGTATACCGTGAGGCCCCAGTTCAACGGCCATTACCCGTGTCATCGCATCCACCGCGCCTTTAGACGCGCTGTATGCCACGTGGTCGTGGAATCCCGCCTGTAATGTTTCATTACACTGTTAGGTTCCGTAAACCTTATGATTTATTTTTGACCATTGATCAAATTAATTTAACACCTTGTAACTCTTAGCATATATAAAAACCAGAGTAAGTAACCAAATAACTGACCTTGTCATCACCGGGAGAAATCTTAAGATTTTAAAATTTATGAAATGGCTTTTGAACAGTACCTTTGACGCTTGTGAAGATATGCTAACTATGGAGCCTTTGATTTTATTGTCAATCATCTTCTTTGCGACAACTTGGGATATATTGAGAATAGCTTTTGCATTAATAGAAATAGACCTGCAAATAAAATGAAAACAAATTACTTTATCATTAAAAAGTAAGGAAACAAATCTCAATACGTCCATTGTTAATTTTTGTACTCACTCATCAAAAGTTGTCGGCTTACACTCTAGAAATGGCTCCATTAATCCCACTCCCGCGCAATTGACCAGTCCATGGAAAACTCCGAGGGAATCAACGACTTGACGCGTCTTATCCCAATCGCGAACGTCGACGCAGGCGGTCTCTATTGACGGATATTCACTTTTCAATTTGTAAAGGTTTTCAGCTTGGTTTGATAACGCTACGACATTCGCACCCAACCGCCATAGTTCTAAAACAACACCTCTCCCGATACCTGAAAATTAGCAATAGACTACCCATTAATTACAGACACGTATATTAGTTAGATGTATTCGTAATGGTAGATTCGAATGTCACTTTAATTTATGAAACGTGTCAAACAAACGTGAATTTTCAATTACCTGAACATCCTCCTGTGACTAGTATCCGTTTTTCTTCAAAATATTTGTCCATTTTATTAACTACGCGTCCACCACTATGAAATGTTTGCACAACTCTTTACCTTATCAAATTAACTGTAAACACTCTTATCAACAATCTGAGTGGTTGATGTAATTTCTATATAACATTATCTGTAATAATGTTTTTTGATATAATTGTCAATTTAATGTAAAATAATAACGTTATAAATACATTGAAAGTAAGACCGTGTTATAAATACGGATGTGATTACTACTTGGATTATATGTGAACAAAACATAAGTTTCTTGAAGAGAATATCTCCTTTGTTTCCTAAAAGTATATCGTAGAATAAACAGAATTACTTAAGAATAAACAAAAGAACTTACCGTGGGTTTCTGAGGCTTAAATCCCTGAACACGTTATCTTCCTTTTGTCAAAGATAAGGATAGAGATGTGATGTGATTAGTTTACATCTTTATTAAACCAGCAGTTACTTTAAACTCATTCTCCCTTGCCCTGGCGATCTTCCATTATACTGAGATAAAATTATATCACTAATAGCAGTCCCCCGCGACATCGTTCGCGCGGAATCCAAAAAGAAACATAATAAGTAGCCTGTGTGCTTTTCCTGACTATGTTCTACATCTATGCCAAATTTCAGCTAGATCTATGCAGCCGCTCTCGAGATACCTTCTCACAAACATGCATCGATCCAAACATTGGCATTCATAATATAAGTAAGATTAAATAAAACAAATGATATCAACATAACACCTTTATTCACAATAAACTTATATGGCATGGTCATTAAAATAGACTTTAATTATGATTAAAGATATTTTGACTAAACTTGATCAGGTTAAAAATTGGTTAATAACATGATAGCAATTGCAAAACCACGTGCACATGAATTATAATATATAATGATGTAATCGTTTATAATTTATAATGTAATATTTTATTTATACAAATCAAAGCACTACATTACATAAGTTTAAAAAAATAAAGGATATTATATACTTATACTAAGACACATTATTTCTTAAATCAAAAATACAGATATTGTTCAAAATATAATATACATACCAATTTATTAGGAACATAATATACACTACAAAAAAAATTACAACTTTCAATCACTACTTATATATATAGTAAAAACTCAGTATACATATAAGCATATAAAATATTAGCAAAATAGTATTTAATTAGACAATAAAACTTTCTTTGGTACTTAAGATACATAAAAAAATATTCAAATTAACAGATCTTGGAACATTAGATCATTGACAAAAAATCAGATACAAAACCCTAATAAGTAATCAATGTTTTAAAATACTTTGTTATTTATGTGGCAAGGAATCCTCCGTCAATAGGCAATTCGACTCCATTAATCATACTAGATCTTTCACTTAGCAAGAAAACTACAGCATTTACTACCTCTGACACTTCTCCAAACCTGAAAAATATTTGTAATTATTTATTAATTTGTAATTATAAAAAAAAAACAATAACTATCATTATGACAGTCGTAATATAAATTGAACAACACCATCATCATCAAAATCAGTTGTTATTTATGTTACAAGAAGCCACAAGCCCCTATGAGTTATTCATGTAAAAATATTGTGAACACAAATATTACAACAATCAAAACTTGTGGTGGCTTGTGGTGACTATGGTTGACACTGGATGTATGGGATAATTCAATATGTTATAATAAGTAAAAACAATTACCTTCCCAGTGGTATTTTAGCTTTCATCTCTGCAGCTTTATCTGGATCTGACCATCCGACTTTGGCCATTGCAGTCATAATAACAGTTGGGTTGACAGCATTCACTCTTATACCATGTGGGCCGAGTTCCAATGCCATTGCCCGGGTCAATGCATCAAGTGCAGCTTTTGATGCACTATAAATAGCATGGTCTTTTAATGCTGCCTAAAAAAGTTTAAAAAGATTAAAAAACGCGAAATTGATTTTTTTTTATGAAAAAGTGGGAAATACAGTAGTGTTGCCTCTTGTTCATTGACCCTGATGCCTTTGGACATCCACAACACCAGAGGAGCTGCAAGGGTTCCCATCCAGCCTTTTATTGGGACTATGCCCTTTGTTGAGCAGCCCTCTTTTAGTATTTAATAATTTCTGGTATTTTATAATTTATTTCCCTTAATGCAGTATAGAATAATTTATATATTTAAATTCTAAAATATCAATTTCTATTGTTTTATTTCTTACAATACATAAACAATATTATTTATATTGAACATCATATAATGGAATTGAAAAGTCAATGAACTTTATTGAATAGCAAAAGTGGAACACAACTGATAACATATTGCAAATACAAAGAGCTCTTGTGTGTAATGCAATTATTTTATACTGTTTTCCACACTTTATCGATTGAAATTATGCATAATACACACTTTATTTGAATTTAATTTATATTAATGTATTCTCTTACTGTAAATTATTTATGCAAGGTAATGGAAAATGTTCATTCTTCAGCAAAAAATTAAGAAGACCATATTATGTACAATATTCTAGAAAATTTAATATTAAAATTGATTACCACCTCACCTTTGAAGCTTGAGAAGATATATTGACAATTGCTCCATGTGTTTTATTTTCTACCATTTTCCGAGCAACCACTTGACTAATGTTGAGGACAGCTTTTACATTTATATCAAAGGTCCTGAAAAAATAACATGTAAAAGTAGTGCATATGTGATTTTTAAACTTATAAATATAATCTTTATTATAACTTCTTCTCTACTTACTTGTCAAAGTCCCCGGGGGTGCAATTAAGGAATGGTTCACAAATTGCAATAGCTGCATTGTTCACTAATGCATCAAAATGTCCCAATGATTCAACAACAGCACGAGTTTTCTCCCAATCTGCTAAATCCACATCGACAATGTCGATAGAGGGATATTCACTTTGTAAGGTTTCTAAATGCGATCTTGTTCTAGATAGTGCTACTATATTGGCTCCAGCTCGCCAAAGTTCAACTGCTATGCCTCGACCGATACCTAGGAAAGATGGTATTTATGGTATATTATAGATATGTCGATTGTCGTTTTAATAATTAAATGCTGCCTAACGTTAATAAAGAATATGGTTAATGCACTAACCTTGCCCTGCGCCGGTAACTAGTATTCGTTTTCCCTTAAATGATATTTCCATCTTAAACTTTTAAATGTAATCTACCTAAGATCACAATTCAAATGTGAATGATGGATAAATTTTTATGGTAAAATATTGTGGTAATTTAACTTTAATGAAATGACGAATAATATTATTAGTTGTCACTGTCGAACTGTCATTTATTTTTCGATTGACGTTGACGCTAGTGACATTGACAGCCGAATGTCGAAGATTATTACAGAAATAGATAATAAAAAATCGACTTTAGTTGGATTTCGATTCCTTTTATGCATCGATTAAAACATATATCGAAAAGTCAATTATTTATTAGTTTAATATTGTTTTAAAAGTTTGTTTAAAAAGATACAACAGTTAGGTAACTTAGCTGTTATTAACTACAGCTATTTGCATTTATGTACATATTATTATGGGGTCAACTTAATATTGTTGATAAGTGTTAACGAACAAAATTGTATTAATTCGTTTGACTAGGTTTCCTTCGAAGCAAGACTAAAATATTAACATGAAATTAATCTTAATAGTTCGAATTGCATTCGCCATGGTTATTGTTCTGAGTTTATATAAAGTTCTTAAACAAAGACGCATTTTAGTCTAAAATGGTGGTTATACGACTATTTCTCATTTTGTTTTTTCTAAACGTAAAATGTGACGAGGTAAATAAATTAATTGTGAACGGTATAAAAAGCTCAACTAATCAATACAGTGGTGATAAATTTCCCATCAAATATTTAACAACTGAAAGCATCGTACCAAATATAGATGATTTTAAGTTGTACATACAAAGTTTAAGACGCACAGTTTTCTATTTTAATAAAACTCCTAATACAACTGATGGGAATGTGGCCTTAGGGGCATTTTTCGTAAAGTGTAAGTATCTACTTAGTCATACCTATTTCATATTCATTTTAATGGTAATAAATGCAAATTTAAAATATATGACATTTGTCGCTTTAAAAACTTATTAATTTTTGGATAATTTAATATCACTATATTAGATTTTAATAAATAACACGAAAGTATGTCTTTATTTTATTAATTTACTAAATTACACTTTTGATATTCGTAGCTATTTTAAAACGAACGCTTCAAGATTATGGCGCCAAAATAACAAAACTAGAATCGGATAAAATAAGGAATATAATAAGCAAATGTGAAAATCTCGTTTCACATTACATTTATATTAATTATAAATACGGTTGGGACGATTTAGAGTTCAGAGGTAAGTTATTTGATAAAGTCAAATTATAAATAGATAACAAAAATCATCTAATGTTCCCATCGAAGGACTCGAGCCTACCCTATGTTATGCCGTTTTAGGCCTTAGTCAACCACGCTGGTCCACTGACTGACTGACAGGGCAATTGGTTGATTTCACACATATCTTTGAACTTCTGCGTAGACGATATGCCCAGGGTGTATCACTATGTCCTTCACCGTAAGAACGTCGGATAAATTTATCAACATATCGAGGATTGAAATACACAATGATAAAGTACGTAATGTTCTAATTTACAACAACCTTTTTTTTAGTATCCCGAATGTTCAAAGATGATGGTGCACAAATATACTCTATCCGTGGTTTCAACAAGGGTCGTTTGAAGAGATGGCTTCATAGTAATTTTGAGATGCATGAATACGTTGAAGATATGGATACTATTACGATGCCCAGGGAGAAATATGTACAGATCACGGAAACGGGTAAAGGATATCATATTGTGATGAAATCTTCAGGTACGCCTAGACATCGAACAGTAGATATTGAATATTCTTTATGATAAATATTGTCAACTAAGTAAATATAATTTATCGTTTGCATATTTATTATTTTGTTCAGATGTATGTTTAGCTCGGGTTATATTCGAGCCGGAACCAATAGACGTCTCCGAAGTGAAGTCGTGTCGTTCGGACAATTATTGTTACAGAGGCATCCACTCTACACCTTCGATATCATATCATCTTACTCATAGGTAAGTTGCATTTGAATATGTACAATATAAATGAATTGTTGAATTATGTCAGTGAAGAATTTATTCTTCCAATTTAAGCTAGCTAACTTAATCATGAGCAATATTTTTTACGTGACATCCCATCTTTTTTATCGTGGTGTTAGACGATTTTTTGATTTTTATTATCGTCCCTAAATCAAAAGCGCATTTACTATAGCAATTTAATGTAACAATTATCTGTCTGTCGTTTGTTTCTTGACTTTTTTCTTACTTCGATCTTACCGTAGCAAATTTTCCTCGTAGGCTTCTGAATATAATGCTACGAAACCAGGCGCGTCGTTGCTACATGACTAGTGTCGCTGAGGATGATTCCCTCATGGACCAGCTCTGCGCCTTCATGTACAGAGAGGCGGTATATTTGGCACGAAGAGGATTCTTCGCCAGGGATTTATTTTTAGAACACTGTAATGATTGTCTTTATACTTTTTTCCTTTCGATATTTTTACCAAATAGTTTCAATTTGACATTGAAAGTCTTTTCATTGATGATTATTTATAATATCATAAAATTAGCAATTCGTCAAATAAAAAAAAGGTAATTATATATTTATTACGTACCACATTATTTTTATTTCCTCTTTAAAATAAATCAAAATTCTTGTTTCCAGTAACGCTTTGCGGGATGTTAGGCTACGAAGAATTCCATCGTCGTAATTGGTACAAGAAGGTAATAAGCTGGATGGATCAGAAGGGCTGTATTAAAGAATCTCGTAACTTCAACTACAATAGTACAGCTCTATTTATCAAACGTATTGGTGAAGGCAACAAGTTAGTCAAACATGTTAGAAAGAAGTTCTACAGAGACCTTCTGGATGATTGTGATACTCATCCTATGGCCCTTCTTATGGTCGTACTTGCCCATGGGATTAGATATGCGGCGCATCATTTATAATAATAATAATTGAAGATATTGCTGAATGGATGGAGAAAAATTCGTAAGTTTTGTACTACTATTTATAATATAACTTCTACAAAAGTAGATAGTTTATTTATTCTTTTGTTTTAAAACCTCTAGACGTAGATAACTCATGTATTGATTTCTTAGTAGTAAACATCTATTAGTGTTTGTTTTAAAGTAAATAAAATATATAATAGTTGATAAAAGTAGCGTTAAATCAATGGAAAACAGGTAAACGCAATCTATCCTCTTGCCGATAGTATTGAAATGGAAATAATGTACCATTTAAAATGATTTTACACGCCAAAGGTAGCCTATATCGTTTTTATTGGTACAAGTACAATACTAATAGGATTTAATTCACTGCAGCGTTAAAAAATAAACTTAAGTTAGTTTAATAAATACTTCTTTTTTACATGCTTTATTTCGAATTTGTATTCTTATATTATGATTTATTTATGTAGCAAGAAATCCGCCATCAATGGGCAACTCAACTCCATTTATCATGCTTGCTTTGTCGCTCAACAAGTATAACACTGCATCCACCACCTCAGATACTTCCCCGAATCTATGAAATAAAAACATTTTAAACAATTATAATCAATTTAGAATATTTAAGCTGCACAATGACTAAAAACACAATTCCGTAGTACTTTGCAGTTAACTTGAAATTTGAGTTATACGAAAGACACACGTCATACGTTAGGGAAACATTTTAAGGAAACCAAAGAGACATCTTTGGTCTCAAAACAAACAAAAACTGAAACTCCGTTCTTATTTTCTCCAGTAAAACTATATGGTTCTATAAATAACTCACCTTCCGAGTGGTATTTTCGAGAGCATCGTGTTGGCTTTATCTGGATCAGCCCAGCCGATCCTACCCATCGCTGTCATGATGACGGTTGGGTTCACTGCGTTCACTCTTATACCGTATGGGCCTAGTTCCAACGCCATAGCACGCGTTACTGCATCCAGTCCCGCTTTAGAAGCGCTGTAGATTGTATGGTCCTTAAGCGCTGCCTGGAAAGCCAATTAGTAAGGTGGTTTTAAGCACAAAAATTCTCATATTAACATCATGTGCATACAAAACAAAAATTAGTTACCTTAGATGCTTGCGAGGAAACATTAACGATGGCTCCTTGTGTTTTATTCTCTATCATTTTCTTGGCAACCACCTGACTGACATTGATGATAGACTTCAGATTTATATTCATAGTTCTGGAAAAATACAACCGAATAATTAAACTGACTGAAGTCCTATTATTTGTTGTAGTTTTTTTTTAATTCTGGCCATTAAAATTCGATTGAATAATTTACTTACGTATCAAAGGCTTCTGGTGTACATTCAAGGAAAGGTTGGCATAATCCGATTCCAGCATTATTGACGAGGGCATCAAAATGTCCTAACGACTCGATGACTTCCCTGGTCTTATCCCAATCGCCTACATCTAGTTCCACAATGTCTATAGATGGATACTCGTTCTGTAGAGTTTCGAGATGTGATCGTGTGCGGGAGACGGCAACCACTTTAGCTCCAGTGCGCCACAACTGTTCTGCTATCCCACGACCAATGCCTAAGAAATAACATTTTCATCTATCTGATCTCTATTATGATATGATAATAGCTTTTATGTATCTTAGTATTATATTTTGCGAATATTGACAAAATTCATATTTATATGTTTTTTGTTGCCAACCAAAAACTTTCTTTATATTTGATCATAAATGTTCCATGCCTTCCTCTTTAGTCCTGGGATCAGGCCGTACGCCCTATATTTAGGTATTGACAACGATGGCTAGTGTTTACTAGAACAACTCTATTTGTATAATTTTACTTACCTTGACCGGCACCAGTCACAAAAACCTTTTTTCCTCTGAATGATATTTCCATAGTTAATGTCCCTAAGAAAAAAATATACCTTTAATATTATTGTTTTTTTAGTTTTAAGAAAATATAATGTTTAGCAATCTATTGCGGATTTTATGTTCGTAATTTTCCAAATAATAAACTATTCATCTCACCGATTTTTATCTCGAAACACTCAATATTTCGAGAACTAAAGAACTACTAACCACATACGAGATAAATGTTTATGACAGTTTTATTACAAACCTTATCAGCTTAACCTTCAACTCAGGTTAAATTATCTTGTTTTATCACTGACATAAAGTATTGTAAGATATAATTGCTAAACTGAATAAACGAGATAAATCTGGTGCTAAAGGTAGAGCTAAGGAGGGATATTTTTACATTTCCTCTACTTCGTTATGTTTTACGTCAAAAAGTTGACTACATTTGAAGTACAGAAACTCTGAAACCTGTTTTATAGGAAGATACTAAACTGGTTGTTATAAAAATAAATTCATGTTTTGTGTTATCTATGGTTTTATACAAACTCTTTAGCGAATTTATAAATCGAGCTGTCGCCCGCAACTATGTGTGTATCAATAATTAAGAAAAATAATTAGTAGCCTATGTTTTTTTTTATATCAAAAGTTGGCAAACGAGCGAGCAGCCACCTGAAATCGCTGAAATAGCGAAGTGACTGCTGCCCATAGACATACGCAATTGCATATGCGCTGCCTACCTTTAATCGACGGATGCACAGAAAGAAAATATCTTCCCTTTCCATGCATCCTCTCATCCGTAAAGTCCACTTCCACTTCCCATCCTTTCCTTATAAAGAAAAGCATGGGAAGGGAAAGAGGACTAAATTTGGCCTCCGGAACGCACACTCATCAGACGAAACGCGGAATTGTTTCCACTTCACGCCTGTCTTCTGTGTGGTCGTGTTATTTCACCGGGCGAGCCGGACCAATTCGTGCGAAGATGTTAAAGCGGGCTCTACCACTGTTAAATGTGTTCTATCAGACTATCTTTAACATCTATGCCAAATTTCAGCGCCATCCATACAGCCTTTCTAGAGATACCTTCTAACAAACATCCACTCATCCATCCAAACATTCGCATTTATAACATTAGTAAGATAATGTTTTTCCCTCTTTTCCTTCAAGTTTTTATACTTAAAGCCTGTGTATTAAAAAGTAAAATATGCTCTCACACCTGTATTCCTAAGGAGTAGGTAGAGATGTCTTTTTCACTTCAAATTCTATACTTAAAATGGTGACAATGGAAATATCGATTAATAGTTCAAACGGCGGGATTTGGGATAGGTAGGAAAGGAAGCAAATCTGCGTACGTAGCTTGATACGTATAATAAAAACATTTATTCATAAAAGACGACAACATAAAGTTACAATAATAAGTTAATGAATTATTTTAGAACATAAAACAATTATCGTCGTTAAAAACTACACATGGTAACTTGTCTTTGTTACATAACTTAGGTATATAACAACATAAATATGCTGGGCTTAATTTTATTTCTAGTATATGACATTTTACTGTTAATATTTTTAAATACACGATCTTCGATAATATTTTTCAAATTTAAAATAAATGCTTAGTTCCCACATTAATGTTCTAATAAAAAATTAAACACTGGCAATTAATAAACTTACATTAAATAATTAAATTAAAATGTATTCACATTTATTTAAATACACATGTGTTGCTAATTTTTTTTTTAATTTAAAGACATGGCTGAATACAATTTGTATGTAATTATAAACATCTACAAAACTATTATATTTTTATTCTTTTAAATATAATGTAAATTATTTGTACTTACAAACTTTAAAAAAATATGTTATTTGTATATTGTATGGTTTTGCTATGATAAGACATTTAATATTATCTCATAATTTGTGCTTTATACCCTAAAAGCAATGGCACATGTAAAGAGTTTTTGTGCATAATAGAGTTTGAAGAGATCGCATTTTAATCTTTTAAAAAATATTCAGATCTTTTGTACCATCTTTAAATATACGTAATTTTTACTTATCAGTACATTTCGTTGGTAAATGAGATAAAAGTAAAAAATTCTACAACAAAAATATATTACAATATTTATTTCTTTATGTAACTTCAATTTGTTAATTGAAAAAAAAAAGCTTTTCTGTAGCGGGGCTACTTTGCTTATTCAGTCGTTTAAGAAATAAATTATATCCATGAGTTTCACTGCCGAAACATATCTACAAAATCTTATTATTGTCTCTCTACTTTTAGTTACAATGAAAGGGACAGTAATATATTTTTAGACGTGTTCTAAGAGTTGAAACTCATGGTTAGATGCTTTGTGCAGTCAAGTTAAAAATGTACAAATTAGACAAGTTCGTTGAGTTCCTATCGTTTGTAGGGAGCCTTTGTGTATCTGCCTCGTTCTTCCTCATCACGTACGTCCAGGTAGTGACTGAAGACAACCGCCCATAAGTATAGGTACAGACCTGAAACATTCCAAAATAAACGTTTTAAATAAATAATAATTCTATAACCATGGGTTTACTACATCCTGTTAGGCAGCACTTAGTCACGTCAGTAGAATTTTACGGTTTTATTTTACCGTATATACTCGTATATACATTATAATCTAAATTCTTACGATTCGAAGTTTTTTAAACAGATTTTCAATCCCTACTTATAGACGTTCATCTCTCTTTTTATTCTCTATATTTTCTGGTATTGAGAATTTCAAATTTCAGCGAAATCTATACAGCTGTATCTTATAACAAACATCCATCCATATAAACTATAGCATTTATGATTTTGCTAAGAAGTACGATTGATGAGTTTTAGCCTATTGTTGACAATATTTAGGTCCTAAATTGGATCTTATACTTACACAAGTAGAGTAGGCCGCCGACGAGTATAGCTGTAGCGAGGATGACGTGGTCCTGGTCATCCAGGTAGTAGGTGATGGCGGTGTGCAGCACGCTGATTAGAAGCCCGATAGCCAGCACAATACCCAGAACAACCCATGGCAGCATAAGCCATGACCGTCGCTGAATATCACAATATTACAATTAAAGATCTGGTCAAGGACTTCACTGGCAAAGAATGAGGAATTCTTGATCCAGCTGATGGCGAGCCTAAGTTATTAGTAGCTATTCGACAAATGTGCTCACAAAAAAAGGAAGTACGAACACACTGATCTATGTTTCTGTTACGCGGAATGTCGCAGATTTTATTAACCTTTTTTTGCTAAGTCGCGCGGCTTAGTTGGCTTCCCTTTTTATTGTACCCAGCTGAGGTTACAAATGCATATATTTAAGTTAAAAAGAAATACTAGATCTTCACTTTATATTCATCAAACTAAAAGAAAACATATCTATTTTAGAAGACAGGAGAAGCTTACCGAAAAAGACGTCTAATGACAGCGTGTAATAATAAAAAATCAGGTTTTAATATTTTCATGTACTTTTTGCCCGAATAAAATAAAATAATAATAATGTTTCTAACTGATCTAAAACAAAATATATTCTTTCCTTTGCTCTACTTTATGTAATAATACTCTATGAGAAACTCTTACCTTATGTACTGCGACGATAAGCAGGAAACAAATCAAAATTGTGAAGCATAAGTTAATTGTCAGGATTATTCTCGGAACTGAAAAGGACAAGAAAAGGATACATTATTAATGATTATATCACGGAAAGTGTATACATATGTATTACATAACTTCTATGTACTGCGTTCTACTAAAAACAGATGTTGATCGACTTTATAACTAGAAATTGAGATCTAGAGGAATTGATATCTAAAAGCCTTCATAACGTTCAATTGTCGTGATAAGGTGATGACTAACTACAGTTCATTCATTAATTTGGTGGCGTCTCTAACGAGAATTATGACTGGATCTAACCGCAATATTATCAACGACTATACAGTAATGGTATGTGTAATCATCCTAATACGAACTACCATTACGTACTACGTCAAAGACTCAATCAACAACATCGTCACAATTCAACTTAGTAATATTTTACATATCATGATTATTTAAAAACTTCACAGTAATCTACGCTGTCGTAATATTTATTTAAAACTCAAGAGAGACTCAATTTTGAAATTAACTACAATATTTACTTATACATTTCCTTAGGAAGCAAAGAAAATAAACTTACTGTCTAAAGCTGCCAGTTTCTTGTCAAACTCCTCAGCGAATATGAAGGTTCTGAAGGATATTTCGTGTCTATTCACCACCCACACAAGGACTATGGTGATGATGGACAGGATGATGCCCAACACTGCGGTGATCAGTGTGCCCGTCTTTGTAGAGGCGCAGCAACAGCATTTCTGAAGTCTCCCCATTTTGATAATCTGACTTTTCTATTCTGTGGTTTGTAAGCAACTGACTGGTTTTGCCTTGGTTCTACCGCTTCATGGCGTTCTGTAACAAAAACAAATGAATAAATAATTTGATGAATAAATTATTAACGTCTTCACTAGGTAAACGTCTACAAGATCATGTATTGCTAGGCGATTTAAATGTTAAATGGTCTGATGCGGTTTTTTTTTTCAATTTAGTGACAAAACGTTCGTATAAACATATACTTAGTCAAGTTGAATGAACTGTTTTGTAGATAAAGGATGATTTGCGAATTCTGGTTTTCGGTTTTGAATCGACACGAAACTACATCGTATAATGAATCTATTATTTAACTGTTATACAAATCACGTATAACTAATTCAAATTTATAGATTTTATTATTATAACGCGGATAGCAACTCCAACTCCAGTAACGCAAATATATTCGAATCAACTTTGTAGTCCTTTAGTTGGTTAAAAACAACCTTAATGTTAAAACAAAAGAAAGATATAAAAGGATCATTTATTGTCATTCGAGTTTCTAACCGTTGGTTTCTGAGATAAAAATCTGTGTATGAAACATATTGACATAGAAAACAGAGACCAATATTTTTTAAACGAGGATTTGTCTCTCAAACACGGTAACTCTATTGGAATCTACTTTGAAGTTCTTACTATACATTTTATGGTGGGTCTGCAATGTGTGATGTGCGGCGCGTGCGTGGGTGAATTGACATTGGACCACTTCCGTAGTTTACGCGGGGCTCCCGCGCATTATCTAGTTAGCGATGGAAGCGATTATTCTCTCGTTAAACCTGTTTTATCATTGTAGTTATGTATGGAATGTTTTTTTCTATCATTTTATTATGTACGTTGAAATGTCAAGACGAAAGGACACACTAAGGTTTTATTACGAGTAACTAAGTTTCTGGATAGATATATCACCAAGGAAGTGTTTTTTAAGGAAGGCAAGTGAAGCTGTCTTAGCAAAAATTAGCATTGCTATTGATGTTCTATATTTGGGTAAAATTATAGGAACTACACAATTTAAGTATTCATACAGAGGTGTATTATTTTAAAATGTATTATATTTGTCTGCTATTGTTACTTATCTCTTTGTACTAATTATGACAGATACAAAAAGGTGATGTTGACTTAAACAAGAGAATAACAAGGAGCGCAATAATTCAGAGAACAAACATGGTCGACTTCAAAGCACATATGGTAGTGAATTGTTTGTGCATGAAACGAATAAGGAGAAAACATTATGATCACTGATAATACTAAATATAGAGATGACGAGACAACAAAGAGAACCATGTTATGGATACCTCTATATATTCTATATTTCTGAGACTGTCTACAAAGTTTTGTCCAAATGTTCCCATCTTACCTCTTTCATATGGATATGATATCTAAATAGTTTAGTGAATGTATTCATTCGTCTACAAAATCTGTAAATTCAAATAGCTCTTGAAATATCACTGATATTGAGTAACGTTTGTTACTTCGAGCATATGTTTGTAATTTTTTTCCGAGCAGAAATATTTCTTGCGAATGATTCATCTTAAATCCCGAACGCTGGAGGTCGCAATGACGTCACGCCTCGATCCGCAATCGACCCGTATTGGCTAATACGTCTAATTCTGGATCTATAACCGATACGGTCGCTCAATCATAATAACGTAAGACGATTGTGAAATGTTTGTTGTTTATACGGTCCTTAATAGCGTCCGGGTGCCGCTCCAATAAATATAGTGTCGAATCCAAGTGTAAGTACCAGTATTAATCTACTAAGTACCATGAATATTGTATGTTTTTTTAAATTGTGCTACGTAAATTGATATTAAACATCGACATTGAAATAAAATAAAATAATTTCGATGCAAAAAGGGCTAGTAACCAGTGCCAAATTAACTAACCTTCGTCCATCGCTACTATGACATTGACCTATTTACTTTGAACCCTGATCTAAATGTTCCCCCTTCTACAGCTATTAATTTAAGTACAACCTCGGTTAGTGAAAGCCACACCTTACCACTATAAGCCATTATCCGGTCGGGCTGAATGTAACACAATATGCCATATAAAGTTCACCAAACAATATTTTCTGGAAGGAAAATGATACGATAAAATGTGGTCACATTATTATTTCTGCTTGATAAACACGCTAATAAGTATCGAGATTAAATAAAGGTGCGTTTGCACTTAAGCGGAACAAAAATTAGTAAACGAAATATACATTTAACAACGCGTAATTAAAATAAAGGGTATAGTGCAAGATCTCTGTTCGATTTTTGTTCTTAGACATTTGTGTCAAATGAAAAATTATTCCAAACCAAAGCTTGGCCACCAGAATTGTATATACAAGGTGGGGACACCAGGGAAGTGATGATAATAGAGAAGATGATAATCTTACTAATATCTTATTTTCTTACTAATATGTATTATAAATGCAAATGTTCAGATGGATGGTTGGATGTTTGTTTGAAGGTATCTCCAAAACGGTTGAACGGATATCGATGACATTAGGCATACATACAGAACATAATCTGGAAGAACACGTAATACTAATATATTTCTTTTAATTTCGCGCGGACGGAGTCGTAGGCGACCGCTAGTAGAGACAATAAATATGTATGTGGTGATGTAATATAGGAAGAGAAATAAAATAAACCAATCGTACTATTAGTGTGACTACAAGATCGAGAAAATACTCGTTGTATACATATAAATGTAAATCAAAAGGGTAGTAGGTTAACTTCTTATCATGCTCATAGTAAGTTGTTCTGGAATGTTGTCAACATTGTCAACACATGCAGATGTACAGTCAGCACCAAATTTATTCATCAGAGGTACAATCAACACTCACGTAGCTTGCATATCAATGACTTGATGTAATTAAACTCGATGTTGTATTACGTTGTAACTTGGTCGTTCCATTTGAGTCAAGCTACACCTTTGTTATAATATTGCGTAACAAACGCCCGTGTATAGAGAATTACAATCGCTTGTGTTTTATAATTGAACCCAACCCATTTGTGAACTAGGGTTTTAGTTCCATTAATGGAACATATAATGTATACAAAAGGAAAATCAACATACTTTTTCTGTATGACTTTCAAATTAACTGCTTCATTGTATGAAAAAAAAATTAAGGATATAATTCCGGAACAATCAATGCTATAATAAGGTTTATCAACCTAGGTAGAAAATAACAAGAATTTACTTTATATATGTTATGTAAACAATTGTAAAATTGACAAACTTAAGCCGTAGTAGAGTCTTGAAATCTAAAAAGGCAGTTTTGTATGCATCGCACAACACAGTATTTGCACATAACAATCTGCTTGGAATGAACAAAATAAACCTTTCCATTTTGATGGATGAATTTCTAACATATTTAAATAAAATGCAGGTTTGTAGATACAATGTAGATTCTATGTACTTTTGTTTTTTCTATATTCTATGATAGAGTTTTCGCAAATGCGTTGTGTGTAGTCGAGTTTTGTCACTAATTACATTTTTAATTAACTAGCTGTCGCCCGCGAATCCGTCCACGCGGAATTACAAAAACTTAATTAGTAGCTTATGTGTTCTTCCAGACAATGTTCTATATCTATGTCAAATTTTTGCGAGATCCGTTGAGCCGTTGGTGAGATACCTTCAAACAAACATCCATCCATCTAAACATTCCCATTTATAATATTAGTAATAATTAATATATCAATATGAATTTTTCTATAACATGAATTGAATTAGTTCACATGCGTGGTTTCTATTCGCAGCAGATGTGCATTGACAGGCGCATTCCTTTAGCTACGTTCCCAGATCGTCAGATGTTTAGTGGTTCATTCGACGTCATTGAATCAATCAAGTATCCCACAGATATTGAATTACGATGCATCTATTCGTTACATACAAAGATATGTAAAGTTACAACTATATTTTAATGTCAAAAGATTCTATTGATTTATTTTTCCAGATAAATTCTAAAGCAATAAACGTTTGAGTTACAGAAATCTTAAAAAAAAACATACCTTATATAACTTTTTTTTTTACTTAGTCACATTTTAGCCCTAGTCTTAATTATTAAAACGACCCAATTGTAGTCATTTAATTATTTTAATTAATTAAAGAAAACGCAACGGACGACATGCACAAGATTAACTGCAGTGAAACTTCAATTATAAAGAAACATTGTAAAATATTGCTATTAGTGTAACATTTAAAAGATTATTTTCTCGAATCTAGATTCCGTTACAATTTAGAGAAAATTAAGTAAATTACGTACTTATTTTTATTTTATGTAGATACTATGCATTTTTTTACGATTACATAATGCTTATTGTATGTTATTTTTGGTAATAAAACAAGTTTTTATATAGAGTTATGCAATAAGTAACAGGTAGAACACAATGTCATTTCTCAAGTTCAACATTTGAGTCACCACGTTACTGTGGTTTTAGACTACTGTGAAACTAGTGCATTAACGCATATTATTGTCTTTGTTTTTTTCAATGTGTATGAGAGAAATGACAATATGTTACAATAAGGAAAACAATTGAACACGTATCATAATCTGTATAATCTGTAGATTCATTTTATTTTCGTACTGGCAACAAAGGTCATTGTTACCGTCTTGTGACGTCATCAACCAGCCGGGCTCTCTCAAAAGACAATGTTTGAATTTTAAATAACATTCCGCGATATCTTTTGTTTGTTTTAAAATAACAAACAAACGTTTGCAAGATTTCTAATAAATAGTAGAGATTTGAATTCGTTTTAGTCCTGGCACATAGAAGATAGTGGATAATCGTGAAATACGTTCAAATTATACCCGCCCGTGTGTGAAAGGACCTGCTTGTCCATTAGGCCTTGTCTTCGAATGTGTATCGTGACTGTAAAATGTTTTATGTGAAAGAAAGGAGACAGGAAGGTCACTTAAGCATAAGTGCTTAGTCATGTTTACACTTCGCATCCATTTGCAATAAATTTAACGTAAGTCGCTTTTCGTCATTTTTATTACGAATAAAACATTGCAAAATGTGCAATGAACATTTATAATATAGTATCGTATT